GAAGAGCTCAATCAGTCTTTATGGAACTGAGATTGAGCTCTGCAGTCACTTTTACAGCTTGCATGTACTTGTATGAAAAATTATCCTGTTTTTCTTTGTATTGCTCCTTTATGTGAAATCCCTGGTGTTCCTGCCAGTCCCTCTGCTTTCCTATTACAAATTGACCACACTAGTCAGGAGAGAAAAGCATGGTAAATTCTCTAGCTGTGCTGGGAACTAATTAAGTCTGCTTACCTCCAATGATCAGACTTTCACTGTGAAGATCAGTGTACTTCTGTTTCTTCTGCCCCAGATCTTATGCGCTGAGAAGAGAGGGTAAGTAATGGGGAGGGGACTGTAGATAGTGTTTGTTATATCTATGAACAACTGTTTTTCCTTTCATTCCTATTTTAAAATGAATGGGTTGTTTTACAAGGTGGGGGTTTACAATCACTTTAAGGCTAGCCATACACACATATAGCATTCTCTCATGTAGCCCCACTGGTGGAACAAGGGAAAGTAACTTGATTCCACCATACATGCTAAACAATGTGGAAGGAAGAATCTCACCTGCTGGCTATTGCATTTTAACAGCTGCTGCTACAGTGTCTGTCAGAATTCAAGAACAGTTACTGCTTTTGATTTGCTGCAGTCACTGTTTGACACTCAACTCCAATTTGTGGAGCTGGGTGATGTCAACAAAATCACTCATGACTCACATTTCCAGCAATTCAGCAGAATTTGGATGACATTCGAGCTGTGCATGGCTAGCATAACAGTTCTTCATTGCATAGTTACATACATGTAGATGTACATATGTATTTATTAGTAACACTATTAAATCATCTAAAAAGCACTTGTAAGACTCTGACAAGCATTAAAATTAAGGTACTGTTTATGGCAGCTTTAAATGTCACAATTCTGCAAATGGAAAAATAGGTTTTATCAATATTATCTTGAAAGGAAAGACCCGTTTCACTGCATATCAGAAATCATTGAGCTTAATTATAGAGAGTAAATCAGACTCTACTGCACTCTACAGCTCCTAACATGTTTCAGGCAGTTGGGCTGTATAGGGCGTTATACAGGCGAATATACAGGAAAAAGCACAGGAAGCACCTCTCACTTATCTGAAGTAGAATGACCGTGCCAGAAAAAAAGAGGTGATGCAAAAAATATCAGTACTACAAGACCAGTGGTATCACACCCTTACTCAGTGGGAGGCCGTGTGTTTCACACCTAGGCCTTCAGTGATATCCTACCTGAATTAATCCAGCAATTTATGGATCACATTATTGGGTCACATGAGGATAAAGGAGACCACAGCATGAAAACCACAGCCTTGCAAGTCAGCCAGAAAAAGCCGTCAAGCAATAGAATTTCATACACCTGCCACAAGCGGAACTCAAAGCACACCTCGTCCCCATTCATACTTCACCATTAACCGCTTCCTGAACTCCCTATAGCAGAAATACTGCTACATGGTGGCACGGGTGCGCAAAATCACGTATATATGTGACTTTGCATTTCCGGGTAGGGGGCGTGCGTGCGCGCGCCCTACCGAGCTGCCGTTCTCGGCCGTCAATCACTGGGTCCCGGCCAGTGATTACTTGCCGGCGTCTGCTGATTACCGAGAATCTCCAATGGGGAGGAGGACTGTTTTGTTTACTAATAGTTCTCCTCCCTGTCAGCTCGGGCACACTGCTTTGGATGGTTGTGCACAGCACAGCCACCCAAAGCAGTGTGTGCTTACAGTGAAGCACACCGACGCGCCCCCCTAGTAAAACACTCCCTGCAGCACACAGTAGTGTCGGTGCTTTTTTTTTTTTTTTTAGCACTGATCACTGTATTGGTGTCACTGGGGATGTCAGTGACACCAAGTCAGTTCTCCCCAGTGTCAGAATGTCGGCCGAAGTTCCGCTATAAGTCGCTGATTGCTGCCATTACTAGAAAAAAAAAAGAAAAAATTCCAGTATCTATACCGCCATTTGTAAATGCTATAACTTACACGTAAAGCAATTAATTTACACATATTGGGATTCATTTTTAGAAAAGACATGTAGCAGAATATATTTTTAATAGCAAAAAGTCAATATTTTTTTTTCTCAAAATTGACGGTCTTTTTTTTTATAGCGCAAAAAATTAAAAATGCACAGGTGACCAAATACCACCAAAAGAAAGCTCAATTTGTGGGGGAAAAAAAGGACGTAAATTTCATTTGGGTACAGCATTGCATGACCGCGCAATTATCAGTTAATGTTATGCAGTGCCGTAATGCAAAAACTGGGATAATCAGGAAGGGGGGGGGGGGATAAATCCTCAGGAGGGCAAGTGGTTAATAACCCCTTTCTATCAGGCTAGGATGTTGTTGGTGCAGTCTGCTAGGACTCAGTTGCTTACCACTCCGTATTGTACCATGTACATCTCGTGCTCCCCTGCACGCTTTCTCCGGTCCTCAATGACCACTGAGTTCATTATTATTACTTATTACAAGTACGAATATAGCACCATCAATTTACGCAGCACTATACATATATATTGTACATTCACATCAGTCCCTAACACTCAAGGAGCGTACAATCTAAGGTCCCTAACTCACATTCATACTATGGCCAATTTAGACAGGAGCCAATTAACCTACTAGCATGTCTTTGGAGTGTGGGAGAAAACCAGAGTACCTGGAGGAAACCCACACAAGCACAGGGAGAACATGCAAACTCCAAGCAGGTAGTGCAGTGGTTGGCATTTGAACCAACAACTCTTATGCTGCCAGGCAGAAGTGCTAACCACTTAGCCAATGTGTTGCCCACTGCAATGCCTACTGGGCTGTCAGTGTGTATGGCTCATCTCTCCTCCCATTTATGCTGTGGCTGCATTCTTCTGAGAGGGGGGTGGGGCCCATATGACATCATGAGTACCAATCTCTGACCATCCAATCAAAGGACGTGAAAATGCTGACATAACCGTACACCTGCTAAATGACCCTGGTGTCACCAACTCAAAAGCTGATTGGTTAAAGCAACAGTTTAATTGCCATTTTTTGTAAGCTGCAGACACCTGCACTGTTGATTCTGTAGGCTTCAAGGCAGATTTCTTTGACCCCGGCAACACAATGTCTTTCATGGCTAAAATATGATTGAATAAAAGCTCTAGCATAAACATACACTACTGGAAGCAGTGAAACCAAGGGAAAAGCTATGAAATGAAATGAAAATAATAGACTATTAGGAATAACACATTAAAGAAAAAAAATATATTAAAATGCAAGTCAGTGATAGGTTTAGCCCAGCAGAGAAGGCCTTGCTGGCCCTGATGGCCCACCAATGCCCCTAGTATACTCCACTTGCTTCCAAATTTTGAATGGGAAAAAAAAGCCGTGAGAAAAGCCCAATCATCTGAATTGTGAAAGTCGTCTGACCAACCTCTTGTTTATTGATGCAGGCCACTATGTGGAGTAACTAGGCAGGGTATAACAGAGAGTGGATGAAGGTATTGGTTCTTCACCATAAATACCCACTTAAGAGTGGCTGAATACGATTTCAAATATCTATTCATATATGTATTTCAACTGCTTATTTTATCTAACTGAAATTCTGCTTTAAGGCTTCGATATTACATGTCATGTGATTACCTGGCTCCTGGGATTTACTGGTTTACTAGTAGGGACCTACAACTCCCTGTTTTCCACAATAATTTCAAACAAATGGAGTCCAGTCACAGTTTCCGAAAACTGCACAGTTCAGCCATGGCATTTTCTTGTCTGACAATAGATTATCTGGACTTTATTCTCAGCAGAAAGACGTTTAACATATCTTTTACTCAAATCACTTGGCTAAGAAAGGGGCGTTTTACACTTTGCTAACCCATAAAGAATAAGTCTATCACAAAGAGAATTACAGTAAGAAAATTTATACCTGTACATCTTGACCGGATCAAACCAAGTGTACAGCTAATTCTATAGCCACAGGGACTTCTGGGAAATGTTTCAGGTTTAGTCTCGGGGGAAATTCTCTTCTATAACCTCCATTTCATGGGAGTCAATTATTTTAAGTAAATATTATAGTTTCTTTGGAAATTTCCAAAGAAAAATTACAGAAATGTAACAATTTTTCACTAGAATGCTATTTATTGAATGAAAACCATAGGAAAGAACTGTAATTTATGTCTGATTTGACTAATGGCTCTGTATTCTCTGAGCTAGGTTAAAAATAAATACTATAATGTTCTTTTAACAGAAAAACACAAGAAAAAAAACAGCAGAAGGCTATCCTCCAAATCTGCTGGCTGTGAGACAGTGTGTGGGATACCTAACTAGATCTATTTGCCCACCAAAATTGTTTAAAGTCCCCGTTCATCAGCACTTCCTAAGATAAACTGAAAAACTCTTTCACCTCAGCTGCATTGACTTACCTCTTGCTGCACAGCTATGTGCTAGTTGTGTGTGTGTGTGTATATATATATATATATATATATATATATATATATATAATATATATATATACACACACACACACACATATTTGGTGATGACAGGCTGGAGATCCTCAGGAAATGGCACAATTCAATGCTTCAATTCAATTAACTACTTGCCGACAGCAGATAGCCGAATGACGGCTACACTGCGGCCTGCCAATTCTGGGTGGGCGTCATATGACATCCTCCCAGAACGCGCTCTCCTGCGTGCCCCCGGGGGCGTGCACCCGACGATCTCCGTGATCGCTGTGTCCTACGGACACAGCTGATTGCGTGATGTGGTAAAAGGCCAATCACAGCAGCCTTTTACCACGTGATCAGCCGTGTCCGATGACACGCTAATCACCGGGAAATGCAATTGCCGGTTCTCGGCTGCACTTTCCTCACGCTGTCAGATCGAGAGGAAAGTACTGTCGAGAACCGGCAGTTGTGGGAGCAGGGATCGGCACCAATCATCATGGCACTGATGATCGGTGCCCAGCAGTGCCACCCACAAGTTCCGCCCACCTGTGCCCAGCAGTGTACCAACCTGTGTCACCCAGCAGTGTCACACATCTGTGCCCAGAAGTGCCACCTACCTGTGCCCAGCAGTGCCACCCACCTGTGCCCACCAGTGCCCAGCAGTGCAGCCAAGCAGTGCTGCCAGTCAGTGCCACCAGTCAGTGCCCAGCGGCTGTGCCAGTCAGTGCCCAGCAGTGATGCCAGTCAGTGCCACCTATCAGTGCTGTCTATCAGTACCCATCATCAGTGTCGCCTATCAGTGCTGCATATCAGTGCCGCCTATCCGTGACACCTCATTAGTGCTGCCTATCCGTGTCACCTCATTAGTGCTGCCTATCAGTGCTGCCTATCAGTGCCCATCAGTGCTGCCTGATCAACGCACATCAGTGAAGGAGAAAAATTACCTGTTTGAAAAATTTTATAATAGAAACAAAGAAACTTTTTTTTTTCACATTTTTTGGAATTTTTTTGTTTATAGCGCAGAAAGTAAAGTGCCCAGCAGCAATTAAATACCACCAAAAGAAAGCTCTATTTGTGAGAAAAAAAAAATGATAAAAATTTCATATGGGTACAATCTTGCATGACTGCGCAATTGTCAATCAAAGTGTGACAGCGCTGAAAGCTGAAAATTGGCCTGGTAAGGAAGGGGGTATAAGTGCCCGGTAGGCAAGTGGTTAAAAAAAAATTGACACAAGTCAAAAGGGACAGAGGATTCCACCGTCGAGGATGTTAATGCAAGAGCAGACCGACCACAGATCTACAGTGGATGCAAGTTGGCTGAAGGGTTCATAATGGTGGTTTTGGGGATGGGGTTAGTACAGTTTAGTTTAGCAATGCTGAAGAAATAGTTAGTGATAAATGTTTAAATACAAAAAAGAAAGCCTTTATGAGAGAACTATTTTCTGGTTTTGTATGAACGGCATAGATAGGTAGATAAAATAACCTATTCCCTAAAACATTACTTAATATCTCCATGTCAGGGAGGAAATGGTTGAATAGAGAGCCATACACAGCAGTGTGCAGGAGCTGATGGGACAGATCTGTATTGTTTACATACAGGTCTCTCCCCTGTCGGAAATATTTGGCGATCGCTGGGTGCCAGCGGGGGAATCACTGGCCAGGACCCGATGATCCACAGGTGAGGCCACCAACAGTGGCACGGTAAGGCGCACCCCCTACCCGAAAATTGAAAATCACATATACATGATTTTGCGCACCCCTGCCACCCTGTAGCAGTATTTCTTGAAAGCAGTTAATTCACTTTGATATACTGTAAGCACATTTGTTGCCCTTATTCGCTTATGTTGTTAGAGCACTATATTTTATAGGGCAATTAAACCCTGCAGTGCAGGCACAGCCCTACTTCAAGGTATAATTTTATTTATTTGCTCAGTGTTAGGCTTTTAGGGCCAGATCACACTACATGCATTCAGTTGCTTTTTTTCTGCATCCAAAACGCACAGAAAGGAGGTTATATGGTAGTCAATGTCATAGTTCATATCAGTGCTTGCAGTTCCAGTGCGTTCCAGTTGCATAAAAAAAAATGTTGCATTTTTCCTGCACAGAACTGTACCGGAACGGGGTAAAACGCATCAAAAGTTCATCAAAAACGCATTGGAACGCACCAAAACTGCACTGGAACGCACATGTCCCTATTTAAATTTAAAAAAAGGGGAAAAAATGCATAAAAAAACACACCAAAAACGCACATGCAAAAACGCTTCCGGAATGCATCTGTAATGCGTTTTTCTAGCGTGAACCGGCCCTCAGTGTTTCCCACCAGTCATCAGAGGGGCAGCTTGTAAGTAAAGTAAAGCTTCTCAACCAAAACGGCCGTCTCTGAAACAAGAAAAGGTAAATCAGTATACAGGGAATTACTAGTTGTAGGGCATCTACAGGCAATACTGGTGACTAGGCCTTTCCCCTTTTTCTTTGGGCACAGCCTTGACACTACAGGTACCCTTTGAAACCGGCCAACTAAAGTTTATATGCATCCTGCACACATTTTACCTTCCATGGAACAAAACGCCACATTTGGCATATTTTAAGCCACTCTCCCAATGTATTGTGCAGAGAAAAAAAGTCAGTCACAGAAATAGCTATGATGGAGCGCTAAACTTTTACCACTTCTATTTTTGAGCTTATGACTAAACTGCAAACTATGTCCTGAAGCGATGTGCTAGCGAGAGTTCCACTGTAGAGCTGTCTATGTGCGAACACATTATTAATTATACACTTAGCTATGATTACGGTTTTGTAACTACAGAGACAGCTACATTTTATTATTCGCTGCGGAAGGATAAATAAATAATAAGTATCCCTGTCTGTTTTCAGTAGCGCTGTGTGCCTTGGGTAAAAGGAAAGAGCAGAGACCTGGCCGCCCTCTCAGGCACTGGAGCACTACAGGCCTGTGAGTGTATCTGAGAGACGGAGGCCTGCAATAAATAGGCCTCCGGGAATCTGCCGCTCCACCTTGACGTCTTCCGGCAGCTTTGTATTAATTAAATTGGTATGTTTTTTTGTGTATCCGTCTTATTTCCCTCTTCTTCTCTAAGCGAGGGGGGGAGTGTTTGTGAAATATTTTATAGAAATTCATAACCGTAACAGGAATAAATATTAAACAACAAGTGGAGGAAAAGGGTGGGGAGAAGGGAGGATGCGATGGAGGGGAAAAAGGAGAAGCGAGAGAGAAGAATAAAAAGCAGGGCTTGGGGAATCGGCTTTCTTCCAGGAGCACATTGCTGAATCGTAATCAGAAGTCGGAAAGAGTGAAGGGAGCTAACATTAAAACTACTAGCAGATCAACAGACCCTGCCAGCGCTCACTGTTAACCCATGCAATGTGACTCTGGCTGAAACCCATACACCTACACTTGCCTGGTTCTTTCAAGTACAAACTGAGTATCAAACTATTAAACTGTTAGTTCACCCTTACCAAAAAACAGCAGATAAGGGGTGTTTGTAGATAAAAACAAACTGTGCAGCTCAACTAATGAGCTAATGAGCAGTAATGGCTAGGCCTTACTTAGCAACACCCTAGCAACATTCCAGTCAGGCTTCAGGAGGAGGTATGTAAAAGGCTTACACCTATAGCAAGACCATTATTGAACTTCAGTCTGAGCTGCACAGTTCATTTTTTATATACAAACACCCCTTGCCTGCATAGGCAGTTGTTTTTATAAATGTGAACTAACCCTTTAAACTGTAAGACCTCATTTATATTTCAGCCAGGGGGCATTAAAAAAAAGGTAGTGCAGTCACAGTTTTACCATCCCTTGACCACCCAACTTAACCTCACATGCCCAGTAGTGTGTTGTAATGGAACCAACCCAGACTGCGCTTGAGTACTTCCGTTAGAATACCGCTTCCCTGTCCAAACACCGACAACAGACACCACAGCCGACCATACAAGACTACTTTATTTGAACACAGATACAAGATATATACACTCAGGGGACAATCCCCCCTTCCTGCATAATGACACAGGGCAAGGCAATCTACGTTTAGTAACAAGAGACACACAGGTATTCAAACTTCACACCAGCAGACAGTCCCATCAGGAGGGAGGGCTGCTGGAGACACCTCCCCCCTCCACTAAACCAATACACATAAACACATACATCCCATAATAGTTTGCTCCCAAGCCAGACAAACAATAGAACAATGGGATGCAGCCACATGACATTAAACAATCAACAACCCCCACCCCACCTGTCTCCTAAACATGTCTACACAGTCTGAAACAAAGCCCACACAATATTAGGACAGATCACCCTGTACCTCTAACAGGCACAGGGTGATTTACTCATAAGAGGAATATGGGGAGCTGAGACAGGGGTCTCCCCACCTCTCCAAAGTGAGCTGGGTTCCATGGGCCCCCCACCCAAAGTGACTCCCCGAAACAGGTGGTACACATGCCACAGTCATGGCAAAAGTTATATCCCATGTCACATTCAGCAGGCAGCACCATTGCCAAATAATTGTTAATGTTAAGGATTTATATAGTGCCAACAGTTTGCACAGAGCTTTGCATTATAATTATAAGTGGCTAAGTGGTTAGCACTTCCACTTCCTAGCAGCACTAGGGTCATAGGTTCAAATCCCAACCCTGCCTAACTGGAGTTTGCATGTTCTCCCTGTGCCCACGTGAGTTTCCTCGTGGTACTCCAGTTTCCTCCCACACTCCAAAGACACGCTGGAAGGTTAATTGGATCCTGCCTAAACTGGCCCTAGTAGGTGTATGTATGAATGTGAGTTAGGAAGCTTAGATTGTAAGCTCCTTGAGGGCAGGGATTGATGTGAATGTACAATATATAGTGTATGTAAAGTGCTGCGTAAATTGATGGTGCTTCACAAGTGCCTGAAATAAATAAATAAATATAAAGGGGGTTAGGAGGGCTCTGTTCCTAAGAACTTACCTGTTCAAGTTAATATGGCTGTGCCTCAGCAACCCTGCAGCCACATTATTATTATTATTATTATACAGTATTTATAAAGCGCCAATAGTTCGCTCAGCGCTGTACATTACAAAGGGGGACAGAACAGGTGACAGAACAATACCAATACAATGCAAATATGAGGGGATCGAGGGCCCTGCTCTTTCGAGCTTACAATCTAGGAGGGAGGGGGTGGTGGCACAGGAGGAGATAGCTGTGGGGGATGGAGTGGTAGGAAGAGTGGAGGAGGTCGGCAAGTTAGCAGGGGGTGGGGTAGGCTTCCCTGAAGAGATGGGTTTTCAGGGTGCGCCTAAAGGAGAGGAGAGTAGGTGATAATCTGATGGGTTGGGGCAGGGAGTTCCAGAGGATGGGTGACACCCTGGAGAAGTCCTGGAGGCGGGCATGGGAGGAGGAGACCAGGGAACTAGAGAGAAGGAGGTCTTGTGAGGAGCGGAGTGTGCGTGCTGGGCGGGGGTACTTGGATATTAGGTCAGTGATGTAGTTCGGGGCAGTATGGTGGACAGCTTTGTACGTCAGCGTTAGGATTTTGAATTTGATCCGTTGCGCAATCGGAAGCCAGTGGAGGGATTGGCAGAGGGGGGTGGCGGAGACAGAGCGGTTGGAAAGGTGAATGAGTCTGGCAGCCGTATTCAGGATCGACTGAAGCGGGGATAGCCAACGAGGCAGGCCAGTGAGGAGGGAGTTGCAGTAGTCGAGTCGTGATATGATGAGGGAGTGGATGAGCTGTTTAGTGGTTTCTGGGGTTAGGAACGTGCGGATTTTGGCGATGTTGCGGAGGTGGAGTCTGCACGAGTTTGTTAAAGATTGGACTTGGGGCTGGAAGGATAGGTTGGAGTCCAGAATGACACCCAGTACTCTGGCCTGCAGGGCGGGTTTGATGGTAGCGTTGTTGGACGTGACGGAGAAATCAATGGGGGGTGGTGTCCGGGCTGGGGGGAAGACAAGAAACTCGGTTTTGGAGAGGTTCAATTTAAGGAAGTGGAGTGACATCCAGTCTGATATGTCGCTCAGTAGGTGTGT